ATAGCTTCGTTGCGTCAGGTAGGTATGGTGGGCCTGACGCCCCTGCTGAAATATATACATAACTATTGACGTGAACACCTTTTTGGACACAGGGCTGCCACACACACACACACGGCGATGACACGAGGTCTGCAATCGTTCGTCTCTCGCAGGTTATGTCCCGACTCATTAAGTTAAGAATCTTCGTCTGTCGGGAGAGCTGACCGGATCCCGTGCAGACAAGGACGAACGGTGAGGGAGCGAAAGTTCGCACGCTTGCGCCGAAATAGCTACGGATATATGCAAGCGTTCGAACACCAACCCCAATCGAAGTACAGAGTTCTCACATGCCCGCAGTCTTGGTCGCAGATAGGAGTAGCAGGATGGTCAAGGAAACTACAGTTGCATCAGTCAAGCACCTGCGGACGCCTTTCCAGTTTTCACCCATCTAGCTCATACGAGTCAGCCAGTGCCTGCTCTTTGCAGTGTCCTACGCACGCACTCCTTGTCAGCTTGCTCTTACGTTGGAGTGTGAAAACAGTCCTCTTGCGGTGCCGCGGCTCTGCAGCTGCAGGGCGTTTCAAATTCCACTTCTGCACCTTTACTCGTTCCGGTTGTCGGCTTTCGGCCAAAGGCAGCTTGGCTTTTTCAATCCGACCAACACGCTGGCTGTCATCGCACCGCTGAAGCCAAGACTGTGGTGTCCAAAAGGATGGAGTGCAGAGGCGCACCTGATGTGGCGACTTGTCGCCTGGCTCAAAGTAGGATATTTCGCAGCTGCATAATGTGGCAGCATTTTGGCCAAAGTGAGGATCTCTAGTTTTAACTTGAGAGTGCTTTGATGAATCTGCTGTGTCTGAGCAAAGCAGCCCTTGATCTCAGCGTGAAGGGCTTCGTTGGACGTCGTGCCACACGGAAGAAGTGTCAGATCACGTAGACCTGACAACAGGCGCCACTTGCAAACATGTGTGATTATTGATTCGATGGCTTCTTATCTGCAAAATCTGCAACTCACCGCAACTCTGCTGACGTTTGCGGGTTGTCTGAGCTGGCGGCCGAGACGATGTCGCCATCGCAAGTTGTTTAGAAGCCATTCAGCTCGATCTGCTGCGGCCGCGCACCACAGGATCTGGTCGATTGCTTTGTTAGCACCAGTCACTTTCCGCCGCATGTCCTCTGGGAACTCTGCTGCGATAGCGGCTAAGCCTTCGATAAACTCCAATCTTGAACGGAAAGGGACCGAGCCATCCAGCTTCCGGATACATGCCCTGGCTTTTGGCATGGCCCCGCTTGTGATGTAGGTTCGCCGCGTTTGCTCGGGGACGCTCAGGGCGCGATCGTCGTAACCTTTGTAGAAAATGCCCCAGTGGTCTGACGAGATCCCGCTGTCGACGGCGATGAACTTGTGCATCAGTTTTCGAAGGCACAAGGCACCTGCCGTCTTTTTACGCCAGGTGGCATACCTGAGTCTGCTGTGTCATCTGCTTCATTCAGCAAAGCATGCAGAAAAGTATCAGGACTAATGACCCACAAATAGTAACAACGTTTGCAGGCCGGCTGCTCATACACTATCGGCAAATGGATCGGATCCAGACACAGACACTGCAATTTGGGCATGATGCGCCGCAATTGGGTGTACAGCTTTGTCGATGCGTTGTCCGACGCTACACACTCAACCTGATCAAGGCCTTCGGCAGGAAGGTTCTGCAACAAAGCATCACACACGGCCTCTGCCTTCTCTGACGGGACTGCAATCATAGCCAGCACAGCTCCAGTGGATCCTCGTGCAGTGAGCACTCTGCGCAGCGCGGTGTCGTCATCAAATGGAGCTTCGTTTCTCTTCGCCTTCGAACAGCGATAAGACTCCTGTCCCAAGACCCCCATGCAACATTTGATTGTCGCGTCCAGGGAAATGTATCGGAACTCCTTGGAGCGACAATAGTACTCCAACACTTCGCAATGAATCTCTTTCACTCGGCATGCGTTGAACACATCTTCAACTAGTGGCCACCAGTGTCGGACATCCGTGGGAAGCAGGGAGACCAGGCGCGAGCCCCGAGATAATACAGCCTGTGCAATACGCGGAATCGCCTTACGATGGTCGTTCACTCAGAGCACGTGTCATGGCTTGCGTTTGAAATGTATATACATTTAACTAGCAAGGTTATGTTTAACTCAGGAGACAAGCAGCAGCTTTGCATTTGGCATTGTTCAGCAGCATTTCCCTGTAGACCAAGTCAGAGAACTCGACCGTGTAGTATAGATTCCTCACTCTACGAAGAGAGAGTGAAGCGTCCACAGCAGCTGCATTCCAGAACTCCGGCCCCTTTCCTGTCAGCACCAAGCGGATGCTGCGGTCAATTTCGTTTAGCTTCTCCGAGAGGGGGGGCTGAACCGATGACCTCAGCAAACCTGCGCTTCTGGATAGATAATTTCCCTTGCGACGACGGGCAATCTGATCATTGTCGAAAAGCGCACATATGATCTTGAGCTGCTTGGTTCCACTGCAAGTGTATTGCTTCGACGCCGTGTGATACCGCTGCACATGCTTCGCAACACGTGCAGGGTACTGAAAAGATCTGAAAGGGCATCTGCTGGATTTACTTTGCTCGAAAGTGTTCACTTCGCTTGCTAGGGAAGCCAACAGCGAATCTCCCACTTTGACGACTCTTTCCTCGTTGTCATCTTCGGATTGGACGTCGCACTCGTCTTCCGAACACTCTTCACCGGCATATTCGCATTCATGTGACAAAGCCATCATCCATTCAGGATCTGCTACATTGGCTCCCGCATGTAAGCCCTGCAGAACCTGCAGCGACTTTATCAATTGGACTCGATCGCCCTCCTGCGCGAAAAGCCTAAAGGTCACAATGGAGTGTGTATCTATGGCTTCCGATGCAAATTTGCGCAGTTCGGACAGCATCATCCTGGTGACATACTTCCCGTCGCCGATCTCGATAAGGTTGTTTTCGTTGCAAGTGCAGGACAAACAATGCGGTTTGCCATCATGCTCACAGTGCAGAAGATACTGACCAGGTTTTGTGATATCCAAACCAAGACAGGGAACAGCTTGAAGGTTCGAGCTATCGCAAACTGAGCGATATGACCGAGAGCCGACCTTCGCGGCTTCGCAATTCTGGTGGCTCGTCTTGCAGATCTCTGATAATATGTCTGGCTTCCTATCCGGAAAAAGCCTGGCCAGCGCTAGTGGAATGCAATTGCCTTGCGTCAGAAGCGACTCCTCGACCGCGACCTCACTTCGCTCGCTTGGTGTTCGACACCATTCTCGAAAGTAGAGGTGCTGCTTACGAACGATTTTGACTTCGAACCCTGTTTTCCCTTTGATAGCGGTAGCCGAGTCGTCGCACAGACGCTCCACATCTGCCTCGGCGATGCCGCCCAGCCTGACACCATCGAAATGCAGAGAGACGTGGCTCAGCGCCTGCGCATCCAAAAATTCTTCCCAGGAGCGCAGGATGTAATCTTCTGTCGCGGCATACAGATAGAAAAGAGTTGATGCCATAGGGTTCTTCTTATCTGCCATGGCCTGGACGCATTCGAAGACATCTGGCAGCAGCGAGCAAGCCAGCCATCTCAAGTAGACGGATGTTTTCTGCAGCTGCGACAAGAAACCAACTTGAGCATAACTAGCAGGAACAGCTGCACCAAATAGAATTTCGTGCAGCACATGCTTGCCTTCTTTGATGCTTGTTTTCATGTCCTCCTCGCATATCTGGTTTCGATGCTCTGCGCATTTCTGTATGGTTTCTAACACAAACTGTGGGACATCAGTTGAATCGCCAAGCTTCTTGATCAACTGGTGTAGTACAACGAAAACGGCGTTCTGGATGTCGAGGTCATGTGTATCGGGACAGAGTACTCGCTGCAATCGACGTGGACATGCTTGCACGCCCAGACCCTTCGCATACGCCCTCGTCCGAAGCAGGCCCTGAAAGTTGCGATGGTAAGTCACACGCCTCTGCCGGGGTTCAGCGGGTTCGTCGGCTACGTCGTCGGTGCTGTGCTTGCCACGTACCCGCCTCGTTGGCGTTGTGCTTTGCGAGGGCTGCTGGCTTGAGGCCAACCCCGCTGGATCTGTCTTTTCCCACTTGGCCAAGAGCAGCTCCATCTCAGACAGCTTACGGCGAGCCCTCTCGAGCCGCTCCACTTTCTCTTGATTCAGTAAACTCTGCTTGCCTTGACGACCAGCCGATCTCAAGCCCCTGATCGCTGCATCGATGTGTTGCAGCATGACCGCCACGTTCGACTCCCTATCGGGACAAGACCTCACGTATCTGTGCAATGCAGCCATATCATGAATCTCCGTGTAGCAGACCTCGGGCTGATTGCCCTGCAACGGAAACTTTTCATAAACAGATTTAGAAACCTGAACGGTCGGAAAGCCCATTTCTTTGCAGTTGCCGTCTATCTTCTCTTGCATGAGCATCTTCTCGTCAAAGAGAGCTTTCCAGATAGCATCCCTCTCCATATCAGAAGGATGATCCGACGGAAGCTTCAAGTACTTGAACATGGCTTTGGTGATGCTGGTTTTGACTTTGGCAAGGCAAAGGTCTTTGACAGCATCAGCAACATTCCGCAGCTGTTGCTTCCTGATGTCTCGGTTCTCTTGGCTCGCAGGATCGACTGGGATCGGCAGCTGAGGATTGCAGGACGAGGAGCGAAGCTTGGCAGGTAAACCGCAAGCCTGTCGCAGCAGGTCTTCTGTCAAGGGCTGATTTGCGTAATCCTCAATCATACGAAAACACGCATCACGACTGGTGAGAGTTTCGAACGCATGTTGCATATGCAAGGCTGCTAGGATGCATGGACCGCTCCGCAGGAAGGTTTTGAGGCTCTCATCTTTTGAGAAATACCCATCCAGATTTGCGTCCGGATAATTATTCAGAATGATGCGCTCATCTATGAAACGAGCCTTCGGCAGCCACAGCAGTGATCTTCGGAGGATAGACGGAAAGTTATGCTCAGTAACTCCAAGGAAGCGCATCAGCCGATTGACCTCGAAGCGCGTCCACCCGATGAGCTCGATCATGCGCGTGAGCATGCCATACGGACGGCGGCCAGCGATGCCATCTCCCGACATGGTCTTTTTGTACAGATCCTCTCGCATGCGCTTCGATGTCTCTGGTGCTTCCTGAGCAGTAAGGATCATGCACCCGGCAGCCTGCTCCACCTGCTTACGCATCTCCTGCTCATCATACCAGATGTTTGGGTCAATAAACTTGTGGTTGTGCGCATACACCGCGTCCAGGTGGCTGCTGTATAGGGATTGACCCACTCCTGGGCATGCGTCGGGACGTATGCTGGTAACATCTCTTGCGAACGCCAGCTCGAATGTCATGTCGAGTTAAGTGTGATCTCAGACATGTGTTTTACAACGTACATGTACATGTTCGCGCCTCCTGGGCTGATGCCGATAAAGCATCGGACCACGTTCTCCCCACGCTTTGCCAGCGCTATAGCTGCTTGGCAGCACGCGAAGACCTTGGCATAGTTATTCACACAACGGGATTTAGAGGCTCACTTACACTCGTTACATATAACATCCTTATATGCTTAATAACCCATCAAAATATCTGCATCCAGACCGCATCGTTGTTCAACCAAAAGGTTTCCGCATAGAACTTCTCCAGACGCACGCTGGCTTGTTGCATGAGGGGATCGTCCAAGCTTCGACATATGTTGTGGGGAATATGCAAATAAATGTTTTGCTCGGGCAGTCCCTGCACCGGGGTTACGATCCGATCCTGCAGGTCGTACAAGACAGCAGAGTCCCCGTACGAAACGCCAGAGGCTCTGTTCTGCGGACTGTCGCACCATTCAACTACTAGGTTGAAGATCCTGTCGTCGAGCAGTTTCTGCTGCATTGACAGCCCAGCCTTGGACAAAGCATCGGCTGTGTACTGGCAACGGCTACTCCTACCCATGCCTTCGACTGCTCCATCGCCGACTTCTTCGGCGATTCTGCCTCGCCCTGACCTACGTTCATGGCATCCGCTTGCTGCGTCCTCACACATGTTCAGGAGAACTTTCTCCGAATCGTTGTGGGTGCTCAAGAGTTCCCGTATGTTGTTTAACACATCTTCATCTTTCTCCATGGGAGGGCTGGCGAGTCGGAATAGACCCTCGAGACGAAGACAAAACCGCTTGCAACGAGCCAGTGTAGCCTGCGGTGGAACACCGCGATGTAACGTAAATGCTCCGTGGTTGAAGAAATACAGGTCGCCGGAGTGACATCGCATGTGCGATTCACCCTCGAAGATCCACAGGAGCAGCACGAGCTCACGCACATGGAGGTCAAACAACCGCATGCGGTACACTGCGATAGCACCCACTGCAACGCGCAGCAGATCATCACCCATGCTGGGGAAGACAGCCAGAACTTGCTTCCTGAGGTGCTGAACCTTCTGAGGTATGCTCATCTCCTCTGGTACTTGCAGGGGAACCATACTGGTGATAGCATCAACAGCACACTCTCGCAGACGATCAAAATTCTCTTGAAAGTTTTGCATCGTTGTCGACGCGCCTTCCAACTTACGTCTTTTGCGAACTTGCTCCAGGATCTGGTTATAATCGCAATCCTCTGCCTCATCAGCTTCTTTCAGGTGATTTTCCAAATCTTGACTGAACTGGTCATCATGCTGGTCCAGGGAAGCAGCACATAAGGCGGAGGCAGCATCTGCATCAGCTTCGGGGTTTTCACCCAGCTCAGGGAAACCATCTCCTGGCATCTGTGAACCGCCCTCAACCTGTAACTGATCACTCCTTCTTGCCTTAGTTCGCGTAGACTCCAACCTCGCCAAATCATGCACAATGTCGCACTGGTCGGCATCCTCACCAGTACGTGGGTCCATCTCCGACCATGCTGGGCATTCCATGAGCGAGCCACCCATATAGTCTGCTAAGGAGCAAGCGCAACCCGGACACGGGTTCCAGGGCGCGTCGCCCACATGACGAGCACAGGCCCAGTTGTGACAGCACGGACACACGCTCCAACGTGGGAACAGAAGACTATGTACTTCGTGGCATACGATACAGCGAATCTGAGCATCGCGAAGAACTGGAGAAGGTGCTGTGTTGATTTGAAAGTCATCGTCCACCACCTGCCTCGTGGACGAATATCCCCAGATAGACAGTTTGGACAGCGGCGGTGCCGACACTTGGAAAGGTGCCCGCAATCGTGCAGCAAACACCTTGTTGCCATTCATGTCCACCTGGAACTTTCTCTCGCTCCACTCTAGCTTGAAACAAATGGACTCATACGGACGGAAGATGTGAGTGACGGCTGCCGGAATCGGCAGCGGCGGCGCGTTGTTCAGACTCAGAACCCACTGGGCATCCGGAGTGCCAAGGTTCTCTACACGAAAAAACGAAGTAGAAGTTCCTTGTAGGTCCTGCACAACGATCTTCAGCCGCGAGATATCGCGGGAGATTCTTATCTCGAAGCAAGCGAAACCCATGAGAGGCTGCGTGGACACAAGCCCGTACGCAAAGCCTGTAGAAGTTGGGGGTCGCGGAATAGCTGCCATAGACCAGACAAGTCTTGCTTGCTGTGGAACGTCCATAAACATGGCTAGCTGCGGCATATCCACTGCTAAGCTTCGAACATGCCCCCAGAACCGATACATAGATAATACTCTACGTCTGTGCCAAAACTCGGAATTGTTTATGGCCACATCCTTTCCGCTCCAATCTCGAAAACGCCGGACGATCGAAAGCATAAACCTTGACACGGTAGCCAAAGCAGCAAGATAACCCCAACTGAAAAAGTGACAGGGCATAGACTCCAGCACCTCTATCGGCAGCTCCGTCCGCGCAACGGCTCCGCCGAACACCTGCAGTTGTTCATGGCCTGCAAGAGGTCCCTGTGGTTGCGAGGCCACCAGGCGGGCACGGTGTACCTGCAGCATTGCATCAACTTCCTTGGGCATGTCTGGCACCACATCCAAAAACGGTCCAGCCGCTAAGTTGTCTGGATGCAGGCCCACGATGAACATGCCTCGTACACGGAGGCCATAATACTTCTGTAAAAGAAACTTGTAAAGGTTCAACTGCAGCCGGTAGTGCAGGCCGGCGCAGTCTTCGACGTGACAAAGAGGTGGCTTCATGCGCGCCCATTTGTTGCAGTATTTACGCGACAGCTCCTTTGTCCTCTTCCAGTCAAAGAGGACAACTTCACCTGAGGCGTGCAACGCTACGAAATCAATGCATCCGGCGACTCTCTCTTCCTCTCCAAATATGCACCATTCCGTGCGAAACGCCAGCAGCTGCTGCGAAGTACGCAGGAACTCCGAGAACAGCTGCAGTTCCGTCGTTATCGCCGGCACGCCACCTCCGTTCAGTAGCACTTCTATTTGCAAATGCATCCATGTGCCTAGCCCTGCGGCTTCGGCTGCATTCTTACGCCAGCTTTCCTTGATTTCGCTTGGAGTCATGGGCCTCGATTGGCCGTCCACAGTAACCATGTACTGCGTCCGTGGCCAATTGAAACCGGCCGTCATTTTCGCGATAACCTGGTCAGCATCAAAGGGCTGCGCAAAGGAATGCACCAAACCAGTCACAGACACAGGAACACGCTCGCCGTGGACGAAGTAGGTGTGGGTAGTCTCCACGAAATCGATCTGCTGGTCACGAGGATGAGGATGGGCGTGACGAAGAAGACTACATGTAACTTTAGGAGGAATAAGGTCCTCGAACTGAGAGGGAACGTTCTGCAGGATGGGAAGGCCTTCCACTTGGACCAACGGGAGAGGAATGCGAATCTGTGACGTGCCAACTCCATAACTAGGACAGCACACCGGGGACATGCTTGCTTGCCAGCTAAGGGTAAAGGCACTGGCACACTCCTCATCGTCTTCAGTACATTTTCGACAGCGCTTTTGCAACGCCTCTGCTCTGCTCCTGCTCAGACGCAACCATTGCTCAGGCTTCCAAGTACTCATAGACGACGTGGAAACAGCGTTCTTTGCAGAGCTTCCTCCCAATGCACTCTTGTAAGCGTGTGAAGTTAATGTGGTTGCGTCACTGCCACCGAGGTAGTCACCCAACTGCATGGGGCACTTGGGACACAAGCGGGATGGAGTGCCCGTGACGTGCGACCTGCAGACCCATGTGTCGCAGAAGCTGCAGACTGCCCATCGCGGCTGTGATATAGTATAGTTCCTGTCACAGATGCAGCAACGCACTTCTGCGTTCAGAAGCACGCAGGATGGCAGTGCTTCTACAAGAGGCAGTCGATCTTGTGGGCGGAGCCTGCCAAAAACCAAAACGAACACCTCAGACAAAGGAGGCGCAGCCCATGCCTGGCGCTCGTCGTTTGGATTCTGCTGCCTTAGGTTTGAAACACCGACTCCATTCAGGTCCACCCGGAAAGACTGGTTCGTCCATCGCAGGTCGAAGCGATTCCGAACATCAGGCAGGACTTGGAAACGATGTCTTCCTGGGTGCGGCCTGGCTGTTTCTTGGTTGACGCCGAAAGACCACATAGTTCCCGGACGAAACAGGTTGTCGATCCGCAAGTATGTTTGCTTCACGCCTCGCCACTCCCGAACTCCAATGTACAGACCAGACGCACTTTTCGGTAGCTGGAGGTTGAAGGACGCCCCTCCCATGAGTGGGCCCACGGATCTAAAGCCACCCATTGCATTGACTATGTTCTGTGGAGTTTGAACCGCCTCCGCCCTCCATACCAGCAAAGCATTCGATGGTTGGAACATAGCCAGCTGGCGTACACAGAGCATCACATTGCGAGAGAGTGTCATAAACCCTGTCATGGCTTGCAGCACCCTCGCAGTCTGAAATTCCTCTGTGTCCAAAAACAAGATCCGGTCACGCCAGTTCTGGGGATTGCCGGCTGCATGACGCATTCTTACGTTGGTGCAGGCTAGGGCACGCAAGTATTGGAGGGAAAAGAAAAAAGTTGGAAGCTCCACCATGACTTCCTCTGGGATCCCTGCACCAGAGTACACTAGCGGATGCTCGGTGTTGTCGTCCCAGACTTCCTGTGTCGCTGGACTTTCTTCTCTGCTACAAACACGGCACACCACATCGAACGCTTCTGGATTTGCAACCAGTCGCGCGGAGTCTTCGCATCGAGCAAACGCTCGATTCTCTTTTGTATGACCCAAAAGGAAAGGCTGAAAGGCATGGGTTCGATTGGTGAAGTTGACATACAAGCTGCCATCTTCTTCTACCCTGGCTGCGACGAAGTGATGCGCGTAGGCTAGCACATACTTGCCAGGCGTTCGCACAAGAGAGTTCCACGTGGTGGGTTGCAATTCTTTCCTGAGAGATGCAGGCAAGCATATGCCTTATGCGGACTCGTGGGTAAAGCAGGATGCTCTAAGTAGACAAGAGTCTTCCACGGCGTCAGCCACAAATTCCCCTCCCCAAGACGGAAGGGCCCGTGGCCTGTGTAAGAGAGTTTGAAGCCCAGGGCCCTCAAACTATCGACCAAGCAGCAATTCTCGAAGCTGCCTGGCGAAGCCGTCCGCCGAGCATGCAACGGCTAGATTGCACTGCCCTGCGACACGTGGCCTCCTGTCGATTGTCGTGGCGCCTGTGATGGACCTGCCGCACAGATACAAAGCGGCCGCTGACTAGGCAACGCTTGCATTACACCAGCCTGCGCTGGCTCTGTTTCTTTTGGCTGGCTGCCGCAGAGGGCCTGCATTGACGTCCGTTGACACGACCACTAGACTCACCATAAACATTGCATTCATTCAAGATTGCATCGGCTTTGGTGAAGGGATCGGCCTTCGGCGGCATTGTCTTGGCTGGCTTTGACAGGATCTGTGCGGACAAGACTGTTCAGTCGACAGCCACCTATCCAGCACAACAGAGCTATAGCAAAGCACAGGACCCATGACGCGCTAAAGCTACACGTACAGGATAGTCTGGCCTTGGGTGGCCTTGTTTCGGCTGGGACCTGTGCCGACATGTCAGTGTGTCCAGCTGGTCGACCACCAGTCACCCAGCACAATGGTTCAGGCAAAGCCTACAAATTGTTGGAAGCCCCGGCTGGTGGAAGCAGCCCGCCTTCGGCGGCTTTGTTTTGGCTGGCTTTGACAGGACCTGTGCCGATATGTCTGCTCAGTCGACCACCACTTACCCAGCATAAACGATCTAGCAAGGATTCACGACTTGTTTTCACGTCATTCAGCCACTCCCGGCCTTGGACTGGGCAGCTGGCGGTCGCCCGTGGCGACACCTGGGAAGCACCTGACTGATGAACAACGCTCCACTCATCAGATCACTACTTCTTACTCCTGCCCGACTACACAGCTAATAGATTGCAAGGCCTGCGGAGGCTGTGCTTCTGTTCACCGTGCATGACTGCTGCGAGCGACCTGTGTGGACCAGACCGCCCCATTAATTCGTCCAAACAACATCGACCGTACCACTGTGAATGCTCAGTGGCTTACGACTGCCTCTGTTCGCTTGCCACTCCGGCCATGTCTTGCATCGATACTTCTCGCTCTGCGTGGACCATCTCATCCTATCCACAAGAGTCTTCATGAAGTAGTCACCTGATTGACGGGCTTGTCCACAACACATACAATCGTATGCTGCAACAAGCCCATGCCTTTACCAAGAAACTCCAGTTGGACTCATGCCAGAGCATGGACTGGCCCTGACCGATGTGCTTCAAGCCAAAGTGTATATTCTCCCCTTGCGCAGCTGGACGCACTAGCGATTATGCCACTGCACGCAGCTACCGGAAGATAGTGATCGTTGCTCTCCTTGCACAAAGGTCATTCTCACACTTGTGTGATAA